TGGGCAACAAAGGCTAGATAAGGGAGAGATGCTACTGTACTCCGGTCATGTAGAGGAAAATATTCCACACATTTAGGGAGTTGCTCTGATGTTGTCCGAAGAGGCACGAAATGCACTTATAGGATGGGAATCTCACAGATCCAAGATCATCGAAGCAACCATCGAAATAAAGAAGGAGGGAATCATCCTGAATGTTATCCACCAATGATAGCAACGACGACAATAAGGATCAGTTCCAGGTGAGGCTGCGATCAACCATAGCGAAGTTTCCAAGAAAGGATCTAACCATCCTTATGGGAGACCTAAACGCCAAAGTCGAAATGGACAACACAGGATATGAAAATATAATGGGACAACATGAACTGGCATAGAGAAATGAAAATGGGGAGAAATTCGCAAATCTATGTTCATTCAACAAATTGGTTATAGGCGGCACAATATTTCCACACAAACACATACACAAAGCTACATGGATCTCACCGGACCACACAACAGAGAACCATATAGATCATATTTGTATCAACGAAAAATTCAGAAGGACAATGGAAGATGTGAGAATAAGGAGAGGAACTGATGTAGTTTCGGATCACCATCTGATTGTGGCCGAGATGAAACTGAAGCTAAAGAAGCACAGGACAACTGGGGAAATAGCAGTGCAAAGATTCAATTCAGCTTTCCTTCCAGATACTAACAAACTCAACCAATTCAAGGTAACCCTCAACAACAGGTTTCAAGCCTTTCAGGATCTACAGAAAGAAGAAACTACGATAGAGGACAACTGGAAGGGGATCAAAGAAGCATAAACTTCAAAGTGTCAGAAGGTTCTGGGCCGCAAGAAGCATCATCGTAAGGAATGGATCTCTATTGAAACCCTGGTCAAGATTGAAGAAAGGAAGAACAAAATGACAGCACGGGAAGAAAAAGTCAAGACACAAGCTGAATACACTGAAGCAAACAAAGAAGTGAAGAAGAGCATTAAATACGACAAGCAGAAATACATGGGAGAACTAGCAACGACGGCAAAAAAAGCCGCAAGAGAAGGGAATATGAGACAACTACATGATGCAACGAATAAACTAGAAGGGAGATATAGTGAACCAGAGAGACCCGTCAAGGGCAAAGAAGGAAAGACAATCACTGAGATTCAGGAACAGAGGGACAGATGGGTAGAATACTTCGAGAAACTTCTGAATAGACCAGCCGCATTGAATGCACTAGACATTGAAGCAGCACACACTGACCTTCCTATAAATGTCACTCCAACAACGATCGAAGAAATCAAGATGGCCATCAGACAAATCAAGAGCGAGAAGGCAACAGGACCTGACAATATACCAGCTGAAGCACTGAAATCAGATATTGAAGTAACTGCAAGTATGTTTCACGTCGTATTGAGGAAGATTTGGAAGGAAGAAGTTACAATGGATTGGAAAGAAGGATACCTCATCAAGATACCAAAGACAGGAGATTTGAGCAAATGTGAGAATTACAGAGGCATCACACCGTAGTCTGCACCAGGGAACGTTTTCAAAAGAGTGTTGTTGAACCGGATGAATGACACAGTATGCGCTTAGTTTCAAGATCAACAGGCTGGATTCCGTTAAGATCGGTCGTACACAGACCAAATTGCGACACTACGGATGATCGTCGAACAGTCTGTTGAGTGGAACTCGTCACTATACATCAACTTAATTGACTATGAGAAGGCCTTTAACAATGTGGATAGGAGATCACGGAAGAACCTTTTCCGACACAATAGTGTGAGTAGCTGAGAAAATCGTCAACACCATGCAGAATTCATACGACGGACTACACTGCAAAGTTGGGCAAGTAGGACAGCTGATAAATGCATTTCTAGTAAGGTTCGGAGTGAGGCAAGGTTGTCTACTCTCCGAAGACAACGAATGTAGCAGTAGCCTCTAAACCAGTAGGCCTCAAACATACGCAAGAGAAAAAGCAAGATCCTCAAAAATAACACGGAAAGCCCCGACCCAACCACACTCGATGGAGAAGCTCTGGAAAATGTGGAATCTTTCACGTACCTGAAAAGCATAATTGTTGAACAAGGGAGATTAGATGCAAATGTAAAGGCGAGTATTGGTAAAACAAGGGACGCATTCTTAAAATTGAAAAACATATGGGACTCAAAACAACTATCAACCAATATCAAAGTGAGAATCTTCAATGCGAACGTCCAGACAAATCTACTGTACGGAGCTGAAACGTGTAGAACTACTACAACCATCATCAAGAAGGTACAAGGATTTATAAACAGTTCTTTACGCGAAATACTCAACATTCACTGGCGGGATATCATCAGCAATAACCTACTTTGGGAGAGAACAAACCAGCTTCCAGATGAAGAAGAAATTAGGAAAACACGTTGGGAGTGGATCGGACATATATTAAGGAAATCATCAAACTGCATCACGAGGCAAGCCCTAACTTGGAATATTGATGGGAAACGGAAAAAAGGAAGGCCAAAGAACACACTGCGTCGGGAATGGGAAGCAGATATGAAAAAGAATGAATAACAACTGGAAAGAACTTGAAAGGATTGCCCAAGACAGTGCTGAATGGAGAACGCTGGTGGTCTATGTTGGTCTATGCTCCTCCATGAACGGTATCAGGCAGAAGTAAGTACTTGCTTTTATCAATGAGCCCATCGAGTGTTTTCTCACAAATCTCAGTTGTCTTCTCCTGTGTCTATTATGATCCTGATCCATTTGTAGATGCAAATAATTCCGCAAATTAAATGTTTTTCATGTTTTTATCGCCGATATCGTCCTTACGAGTTCTACTAGGCACAATCTTAATTGAAGTAGGTTGGTCAATATTCCGCACCCTATCATGTTTGCGTATGGATTGCTGGGCATCTCTTACATCAACTGGGCAGCTTAGATGGTATAAGCTTGGGTGCAGCGACCACTATTGAAACGCATATTTTTATCTCTTCGTTTCAAACTTCCAAATTAGTTGATTTTGGAACTTCCGTATAAAAATAAGTTTGGATAGTTGCGTTTCCATACATTGTGTATCCGTGACAACTTCAAACAGGATCATTAAGTTCTTTCGTTTCTGGGACACCAGAACCAATTCGATTTTTAAGCCGTTTTAATGCCCTTGTAGATTTATTCTTGTTAATGATGTGGAAATATATGTGGCTCATAAGCGTGTTATATTGTTAGTTCTGATCACTGTATTATTCATGTTCTGCTTAAGTCACGTTATAACCTTAAAATAAGCAGACTTTTATATCGGAGTTTGAAAGTCGAATATGGAAACAACTTGTAGTGCCAGTGAAATCTCACCGAGACCTAGTCAAATCATCCGGCAGCTGGGTCACTGAACGTCGGACAGCTCATCAGTCCTCGCCAAGGTCAAGGTCGAACAAGGCAGTGGAGATGGCGAGTGAGTCAAGTCAATTGATCAAAAGTTACCTGATATTTATGTTCAGACAAAAATAAATTACTGACACGCAATGAATGGGGCAAACAGTCAACGCACATACGATTATATAAAAAGTCAGAAATATCAGGTCTATAAACATAAGAACTCTCAGTATTTGAGCGCCAAGTTGATGTAAGACATTAAACAGGAATAATATATTTGTAAAATCTCAGCAAATGAATTTGAAGAACCGTGTACCTATTTATATTCGATAATTTTGATGTCTGATAATAATTCCTTGAAAAAGCATGGACCAGATTGCCAGGCGAGACGTTGGATTTACTACAAATTCATTCGATGAGATTTTACAAATATATTATTCCTATTTAATTAGGTCTATAAGTCGTAAGGTCAAAATTCGACTTGAGGAGATAGAATAAATTGGTCTGTCCAGAAACGAGAATAGCCTATATGGGCTTGAAATAGTACCAGCCTCTACAAAATTTGTTTCTTTATTATATTGGTAAATGAAGAACATCGCTAGTTATTATTACTGATACGTCTGCATTATATTATATATGCATTACACTCCTTATCACAAGAAAAAGCTTGTTTAATAATCCATGGCAATGTATCCCGAAATGCTCACTAACGAATGTGACAACAACGTCTTCTGCATTAATTCTTCCTGATGATAAATCTATCTAACACTTCGTTCACTTTTGACGACATTCCAGACGATAACGAAATTTAGTCACCGTGACTTAGCTCATTGCATTGTTAATCTACGTCACTGTCGCTTTATTTACCTATTTTGTTTTGTTTTCGCTTGTTTTGGTCGTTCATCAGCCAGGTCTTGGTTTCAAAATGAAAATGATATTCAAAAACGGTTCCAACGACACGAAGACAAGATGCTAAGTGATCCTACATCCTCAGAAATTTCAGAGACATAAGCCAAGTTGTTTAGGCCTGCCGTCTTGTTACGACGCAGTCGTAAATACTTTAATTTACTTAATAAAATGTAGTAGCATGACACTTTACGATACGTTCAATCCTTGGTTAGTTAATAATAAGGGTAAAAACCAGTTGGAAATAACTATAATAGCTTGATCTCCGATCCTTACGAATAGAAATTGAAGTTGCCACAGGTATTCGGAGTTTGACAACGCCTTAACCGGTAACGACTATTATGAATCGTACAAAGCAACTGAAATCAAAAATCAGAAACCAGGATGTTCGAAGATATATTTGATAGGTTGTCAGTATATCGTGGATCAACTGTTCTAATCTGGAGGTTGTTGAGCACAGCGTTCCCACTCGTAATCTGGTGCTGATGCATGACTAAGAGCCTTTAGCTATGCGAGTCCATTAAAACTTATGTGACCGGTATCCAATTTTGAAGACTTACATCGCTATTTATTTTGGGGATTTATTTACTGCTACAAGACTGAGGAAATTGTTTGGTATACTTCGGTATGTTTTTAAGTCCTTTACCTTTTTAGTATGATTGTGTAAAAAACTGATAGTCCACTGTTTTTGTACACATTGGTCCGCTAAGTAAAAAGTTTTTTTATTTCCTCGATAACCATTTGTCCACTCAAATGTATATTGTTATATTGGACGTGGCACGTCCTTCAATGACCTTGTCTGTATATGCATACATTACGAAATAAGTGGGAAGTTGTTGTTGGCCGGTGATGGCTTATGCAATGAAGTCTCTTCAGAATTTCGATGCTTTTGCAAAACCACTCAAAGATTTTCGTATCAAAACACTGTCAGGGGCTTTGGGTATTTTGTTTACATTTTTGGTCTAGCCCATTCCACCGTTTTTAGTTTCAATAATAAGTAGTCTAATCATCGGAATTTTGTTCACATCAGAACTTCTTTCGTTTACGCACACACAGAATAAACAGGAGATTATTGTGGATGTCAATCGTGGAGAAAAGATGTCTATCTACATGGATATAACGCTAAACTTTATCCCGTGCAGATGTAAGTCAAGTTTGCGCGCTTTGGATGCAAACTGTAGTTTTAAGCCTAGATACAATGGACACAACAGGTGCGCAGCAGCTGAATGTTATGCACGAGGTTTATAAGACTAGTGTTTCAGTTGATGGCACTCCTGTATCGGATAGTGTTCGCCATGGTAAGCTCATACTCATCAATATTTCTCCCAGCTGTTAATGATGCTTCGGCTCTCACAACGACGAGAGACCCCAATTATTGTGGCTCCTGTTATGGAGCAGAGTCTCCTTCAAGGAAGTAGGTCATAAATACTGGGTTCTTTGATCAGTGTATATATTATTTGTAAGTTAAAGATTCCAAAGGAACGATCAGCTTACTTTATCATTCACTATACCTGCATCAGTTATTCGCGTCAGATTAAGTAAAGTCTATTTGACTGCACATAGTATCAGCGAAAAGGAAAGTTCACCTGTCGCTTTGAAGTCTATTTTCCATGGGAAATATTGATACACTCATGAATCGTCGTATAAATGTCTTTTCGGTGAGGCTATACTTTATTGGTGTCCTTTGATTCACGTCAGTGTAACCTCGAGAAGATACCTACTTTATGGGGTCACAGGGGTTTCGAATTAGGATTAGAAGTTAGGGTTAAAAATTATAAGGGTTTTTATCGCTAATGGACACCAGCTATAATATCGAAATACTGTTTAACCATATAGGTAAATGGACTTAGCGCTAGAATCCAATGCTTGCTATCGTTAATATCACTGATTCCTCCGTTAATTGTGGCATTGTTGTCGTTTCTAGTTCTGAGAAGCAGTGGTGTGTTTCTGACTAAAGCAAAAGAATTATGCACACTTGTTTTTTCGAAATTTCTTAAACATTTTGCTACACTAAACTCTGAGGACATTGTAATGTCGTCTCTCCGTGTTTTTTGAATTGGTCTAGACTATTTTAAGTTTCTCATCATACAACAAGCTAGATAAAATTGTGTTGTTTCGGCATTTACCGCGTATCCTTATGTTGTTCAGTTCGTCATAAATAGTCTGCACATTGTTTCCCCGGTAACAAGCATTCTCCCTAGCGCACGTTATTCAATTCCGTGTCACACGTTTTGGCTACGCAATGGATGCACTTCCGATTTGGATTACTACTAAGGTGAAACGCATAGATCAGATGCTGGGACAAGTGCTGTATGATAAAGATTATTGACAACTTTCAGAATCCCTGTTTTTGTTTTACATATACTATTGGCTACAGGTGATAAAGTTAGTGATAACAGTGATGAATACATATATATATATATGGAGGATCAACTGAAATAACTTTTACAACACTAAGTAAAAATTATGCACCATGTACTTTAGGAATCTGGCAATGTGACAACAGCTTAAAAGATGTACGTAGTAAGGTACATGATAGTGAACGATAATCAATATAGTATATTTTCTGAAGGAAGTTAACAGATCGATTTGAATAACAATTTGAAGTCGGCAAGAAGAATTGTACAAGTGGGATGCTATGAAAAGTATGAGTAATCATAAAAATTTCATGAAAGTCCAAGTTAAATATGTATGTATGTCGCTTGAAATGAGTCGGACCATTTTCAGGGATACTGAGCCTCTATTGAATGTCTTGGATTGTTGGTCTGCACTCAGTAAATGACATTGTTATAGTACAGCGGATTTAAAAGTGGATACTCTTCACCCTTCATCATTTTGATGCCCTCTTACTAAGCCATCTACGGATGCTTGATAAATCAATCAGATGTTTAAAATGGTAACTTTAAATAATCGTTCTTTGTGCTAGGGTATCACTTCTAGTTCTCACGATGATTTCTCAGTCCATTCAGTCAGTCACAACGTAGGATCTGGTACGTATGTACATTGGTTCAATTTACCATACCCCATTAGCACAGAGAGATGAAATTTTCAGGCCAAATCTCACAATAGTAGAGCTAGTAAGAGTATCATTGGTAATAGGATAAATTAGCATAAGATACGTATGAAGGAATATTCGGATCTAAGTTCCTAATGAAGTTAAAGAGTGAATAGATCTGCGCCATTATGATCGGTTCTGATCCATGATACTCATCGTCTTCAACCACGCTGATCGTGGTTTTCACATAAACCATAACTGCTAGGTAGTCCAACCGTCAATCATTTCGTTAACCCATATGCAGGTTTCTTATAATCGAATCCGATTCAAGCTGGCATTGCATGTTTTTAGTGTACGGTGTTTGAATTTATATAATGCATGTCTCACCCGGTCACTCAATTTTATGAAGATTCACACCCTCATCAACCGACCCCCCATCTCTTTATTTGGTACTATATTTGTTACTTTATCATTGGTCACTAAGTTATCTTATGACATTCGAACAATTTTTCGAAGATACCCGTGACCAAAAAGTTATATCCTAGGCATATCCTCCACTTTTATAGACAATTTCTCATGCCCGTATTGCAATACTAAAAGGTCTGCTGCACAGTATCAACGCCTTTTCACCGGCAGACGGTAATTTCCCTTATATAACAAGTGATCTAGGTTGGCAATCGCCATCTGAGATTTCGCCGGACAGTAATCCAATAAGACTGATGTGACTCGCAAGATAAGTAAAGTTGTCAATGCATCCTGTGAGCAGTCTAGGCGATGTAATTGGTCCTGAAACATTTTAGATTTATAAGGAGAGAAACTCCTTCCGAACCTACTCGTCCAAGAGACTCCATTGGATCAATCCCTTCATCAAAGAGGACTGTGTCAGCATACTGTATGAGACTGTTTTCACATTCCCTGATTTTCATTCGGTCATTAATCGATGTATATACTACCATGACTATATTTTAAGATGCTGTAATACATGTGAGGAAGTTCAAATGGCGTATAACGAAATGCGATGGATATTCGTAAACATATCTGCATTTGAACAGTGCCGAAAGGAAAACTGGAACGAGATTAAACAAAAGATAGGCAATGAAGGATGCAGAATTCATGGGAATTTAACAGTCAATCGAGTTGGTGGGGCATTTCATATTGCTCCTGGTCATAGTTACACTGAAAACCATGCACACTTTCATAGCTTTCAAAGTCTCGGTCCCGTTCAGGTGAGTTGAAGTTTAATTCAAGGTTATGGCATTCAAAAAAGTTTCATCCACACTGCCTTTCGCTTATTTTATTATCTGTTTTTGTATTCTTAACGTAAGTATTTGATTGAGTAGCTTTCTCCATACTTGATACGATACCCGTCACAATAATATATTTTGAGGAATTTATATATTTTTTCACCTGACTAGCGTATAAGTCTAGAAGCATCATTTATATAAATACTTGAACTACTATGTGGTATTTTATTGAGGATTTTGGCATGTCAGTTGTATTGGTCAGAATTCAAATCATACATAATTATATTTTCTGTGCGTGTTAGATGTAATTTGATTCAATTCTTCTACCTTGCCACACTGATGTCGAGATTTAGACTTAAATTTATAAGAGAAAGGTCAACCGCAGAATTTTCACTAGGCGAGTACAACACAAGCTGCAGATATTGTCGTTAACAACAGGTTCTTTTATGCTCGCGGATTTTTATTTGACAACTGGTCACTTTAATTAACATTTAAAGGAGGTAAATAACCAGACATTTGGTCCAAAACTTCATGTAAACGTACTGATGAATGCAAAGAAGAAATAAGATCTGCAAGTGTTCTTTCCATTTGATGTCAGTAGTCAAAAGGAGCGCATGGAGTAGTAGATTCACTACAGGTGCCTTATTTTATTGATGACGTTGATTTGTTACAAACTGTTGCTGCTTTTCATATATCCATTTGTTAATCGTTTCAGTATGCTTTTATGTATTCAATACTCAATAATGAATTTATTTGATCGTTAAAATCTGACAATGGTTACTATCGCCTTTATTTGTTTATCTTGATTAACCTACATCCCCCAAAACAGGGAATCTTTTCTCTTAATAACACCGGTTTAAAGGATGTTCTGAAATAACGCTTAATTATGTAATTATGACAAATAAAGTATTTATAATTTTTCAATGAGTAGAAAAATTAGATTTTCTGACGTTTCGTGACTCAGTGTAAGCCACTTCTTCAGAGAATGAATAACTGAATTTCCTGAATTGGCTATCATTTGAGCGATTTGTTCATATGAATTTTATTTAAATATTTGATGGGTGATTTTTATCTTCAATTTATTATAATCATTCTCTATAATATTTCTTTACAAGGTATTTCCATTATAATTGTAATGTACTAATTATGTCCCAATGTCTTAACCTAGTTCAATGTGTCTCATTCAATCGGGGAGCTTCGTTTCGGTGAATCATATCCTGGTCAAGTTAATCCACTAGATGGAACAAAACTGGCTGTACAAACACGTAAGTATTATCTGTATTTATTTAGAATGTCCTATCTTCGCCTTGATAACTTAAAAATAAACACTCGTTCACTTCCTTGATGACGTATATAGCACTCCTAATGTTCAGAGACACCGCCGACTAAGTAGTAGAAATATTAGAGATGAAAATTCCTATGGGAGGTAAATCTTTTGATGAAGTCGCTACATTTTATTTGTCAAAATATCCGACGACATGCGTTGAATATACCTAGCAGTCACCTCCCATGTATCATATCGATTTATTCATGGTAGTGAAACCCTAAGAGTAGGGCTATTTCACGAGTGGTTACAGACTTACAAGGTTCCAAAAGTATTGGAAATCGATAGTGAGTTAGTCGGTCAGCTACAACGCAGGACCTGGCACACATATGCATCGGTCCAAGTTGACATACATCGTTAGCACAACAAGATGATCACCGAATTCATAGAAATAGTTGATTTAGTGGTGGTAGTATATAAAAGATAGGTTGTATATAAGGATATAGTATAGGAAGGAACGTCCTCCTGTGACAATCACAGAGGGATCAGTTTGACTAATATAGTGTCTAAAATATTAGCTTCAATAATACTAGGTCGCCTAACCAAAGCTCGTGAAGAGCAGACTAGAGAAAACCAGGCTGGTTTTCGACCTGGACGTGGTTGCATAGACCAGATATTCACTCTACGTCAGGTCCTAGAACATAGACATACATTCAGACGTCTCACAATAGTAGTATTTCTTGACCTTAAGGCGGCATTTGACTCTGTTGATCGTGAGGTTCTGTGGCAGTGTTTGTCACTGAAAGGAATACCAAATAAGCACATTAACCTCATAAAAGCTCTCTACTCGAACACAACTGGTCGAGTTACAGTCTATGGCGAACTGTCATCAGAATTGGTTACCTCAAGTGGTGTTCGTCAGGGCAGTCCACTCTCACCATTCTTGTTTAACTTTTTCGCTGACATGCTTTTAGAGGTATCACTTTCATCATCTCAATCTCCTGGAGTTGAACTTTTACCAGGAGGCTCACTTGTTGACTTAGAATACACCGACGACATAGTTTTATTCGGTGAAGACTCTGACAAAATGCAGAGTCTTCTGACCACTATAAGCAACAATGCACGCATGTTCGGGATGCGATTCTCTCCCTCGAAGTGCAAAATGTTACTTCAGGATTGGGTTGCGGCGACACCTGAACTAATGATAGGGAGTGAAGTAGTTGAGCGTGTTGACAGCTTCACTTATCTTGGGAGTCTCATCAGCCCTTGTGGTCTGGTGTGTGACGAGATCTCAACACGGATACAGAAGGCTCGTCTAGCTTTCGCCAACTTGCGTCATTTATGGCGTAGGCGAGATATCCGTCTAGCAACAAAAGGACGGGTTTACTGTGCAGCAGTCCGTTCTGTTCTACTTTATCTAAGTGAAACATGGCCGATAAGAGTAGAGGATATTCGTAGGCTACTAATGTTCGATCATAGATGTCTTCGAAACATTGCTCGTATATCCTGGGACCACCGGGTAAGTAATGCAGATGTTAGGAAACGGGTACTAGATAAGGATGGCAAATCGATTGATGAAGTACTGAAACTTCAGCAGTTGAGATGGCTGGGACATGTGTTACGTATGCCCAACCACCGACTGCCCCGACGTGTAATGTTTTATGATGTAGGAGTAGGTTGGAAGAAAGCTAGGGGCGGCCAGACCGAAACATGGCATAAATCGATGAAGTCACTGACAAGTGGACTGGGCCGTGTTGGCAGGTGTAGACTACCTGGTTGGGATTCGCGAGATGATAGCAACCGATGGTTAGAGACCTTGAATGACATGGCTCAAAATCGTTTGCAGTGGCGAAGGTGCATCCACTCTTTGTGTTCTACCAACTTCTAATCTGAATTCTTCATGTCTGTATCCTTTTTCTCTTTCCCAATTTATTTCATTGTATTATACTCCTTCAATAACATCTTCAAACCCTTATCTTTCACATGATACTTATACTCTTACTACTTCTACCATTATGGGATTTGAATCGACAACTTCATCTCTGTGCTAATGTGGTATGGCAACTTGAACTGATGTACGTACGTACGAAGTTCTACGTTGTAACTGACTGATAGGAAGGAAGAACGTAATGAAGCAATTTTAATCTTAAGGTTTAAGGGAATATAAATAGTGTATACACCTACGCCATTGTGATCGATTCTGAGCCATGTCACACAGAGTCTCTAACCACTGGTTACGATAGTCACGCGGACCCTAACCAAGTAGTCTGCGTCTGCCAACATGGCTCAGACTAGAAGTTAGTGACTTCAAGCACTGATGCCACGTTTTGGTTTGGCCACCCCTAACTCTCTTCCAACCATCCCCTACACTAGTCAGCATAGCGCGTCTTGGTAGTCGGTGTTGAGGTATACTTAACACGTGTCCTAACCATCTCAGTCGATGAAGATCCACAACCTCACCAACTGATTTACCATCATTTCCTAATACTCTGTGTCTAACCTCACTATTACTTACCCGGTGATCCCAGAAGATGCGAGCAATATTTCTAAGGCATCTGTGGTCAAATACTAGTAACTTACGAGTATCTTCTACTCTTAATGGCCATTGTAAATCGATAATGAGTAGTCAGTTTCCTGGCCATAGTTGATACATTGAATCAGTAGTCATACTTGTCCATTTCAATGGCTAGAATAAAGTACATCAACTGAAACACTTTCGTTGAGGATTTTTCAGATTGCAGAAGCTGGTTAAAGACTGTTGGGACTAAAAGCAACTAGTTTCAAATCTGAGGATGAAATCATACTGCCAGCCATGTTTGGGGCTTGTCCGCAGTAATCTATTCTCCATGGTTAACCAAAATCTTCAGCTGTGCTCCCTTCTTACAGGTGTAAAAATGAGAAAAAAATGTCACCCCTAAAAACACTTCGCCTCTTGGACCATGAATAACCAACATCAAGCTTAAGTCCCGAAAGTAGAGAACAAAAATCTCATCTACCAATCCATTTTACTCTGAGGTCTCAACAGAAAAAAACATTTTTCCACAATGTGGAGAACCAAGAAGTACTAACTATCTACACAATTTGTACTCGAATTCCTCTGTTTTATTGAATAATTATTAAATAATGAGAGCCGTAGTCATAAAGAGACTAGTCTTTAAACTGTGTACATTTGTACAAAAGTCATGTGGTCATAAGTAATAAGTACTCTATTTGCGTTTTATTCGTTGGGGTGCATAATATAACGCTGAGATTCTTTTGAAGACAACTAATAACCTACCTTGAACTTCGCTTACTACATTGAGTATACTCCTGCCTCCTTAAATATATTGAATGATTTTTTCTGGTTAGCGTTTTTTTAGCGAGTTGATTTTCCTTTAATATATTACCTTGGTTTGCTCAACAATTTCTAGTGAAAAAGGATCATTCAGTCATTCTTTTCATAATTAATCTCTTGAAAAATTTCATTAACACCTAACCCATCCTAGTAGTTACACTTTAATTTTCTAACTATTAAAAAAGAAAACAAACATAACTCAGGAAAGAAAATGTTTCTTCGATGATGACTTCATTTACTAAAGCTGTACAGTTGTACCTATTATTATTAAGTAAATATGATAGTCTGCTTAAAAATAAAAAAGAGATTACATCATCAATTATGTGGAGATTTTAAGTGTTGCCCGAAAATTACACAATGATTTTAAGCGCTGAAAAATTCCCATCATATTAAAATACAATTATATGAACGAAGAATATTACCTGATGATAAATTATTGGAAATGATTTTAAGGTTAAAAAAAAGAATTATTTGACTGTAAATAGTTTGTCGTTCAAAAGTATGAGAGATAACTGTCCACTTGAGAGATTTTAAAGAAAAAAAAGAAAATCCTGGGAGCGCTAATAACAACTGATTACTGAATAAAATTAAACTAGAAGAGGCCTTTTTTTCCTTCTAAATTACCTTTATTTCTTTTTTAATACCACGATAACTTATTCACTGATCAATTAATTTCAATCAGTATCACGGAATAGATAACAACATTGTTTATAATTTGACAAATAATCATTGAACTCAATAATTTCCGAATTGGATTTATTCATTATTACTATTACTAACACATAGTTAAAAGATCAACAAAATATATAGTAACCAATGAGAGGATTAGGAAAAACATTTCTGATAACCATTCAAATATTGTTAATAGTTACGCAAGAATAGAAAAAAAAACAAATGTTACAACTAACTAAGATCAGGAAAAGGAAAACAGATTTGGAAAAAGGTGGAGTAATAATTCTATTCTAACACACGTTTATGTTAATGGCCAATGTGGGGGGGGGAAGAAAGAGGTTGCAAGAATTTCAAATGAGAAAACATAATTTGAGTTCATTGATATGAATTCCGATCGCTTCGGCAATATAAAAACGATCCACACAGACTAGTTTAATTATTAACTCAACTGTTAGTAAAAAGTTTAGAGAAAACGTTTATTGTATCCATGCTGGATACCGTAGTTAATAATCGTTCGATTGTACCAATCGTAAACAAAGACTTCACCTCATCCACGTGCTTTTTTTATTTCTACTGCTCACATGGAGTTAGTCATATAGGAGACACAAGTAAGTAAGTACATCATCCTCTTTTCGAAATTATTTATTTATTTGAACACAAATATTGGTACAAACGGGCACCAGATATATGTGCGCCGCACAAATCTCATTTGATCTGTGTGAGCACTGTGATACTGCCCAAGTGCCCAAACCGAAGCAGGTGGTTTTCTCAGGGGGCCACACCCCGAGCCTTTGACCTAAAGGTCTGATCCACAAAGAAGTGGAGCATCGTGAGGAGATGCAGTCCCATGGTAGCCGGTGACCAACAGCAGGTTCATTCGCCATTCGTTCCATCGGGATACTAGAGCTCATGTGCACGATTGGTTTGTAATCAGGGTTTTCCAACTCCCCTAGGTGGACCCTCCATGTCCACCAAACCGGTTAAACCGCCGGACATTCGCTTTTCATCCTCTCACTTTCGTAAACAACACCCGATCACGAGAAGGCAGTGAGTAGGACTTCCCTGGCAGAGGCTGTATACGCATTGCCGTGTGAGAGCATTTCAAGAGGGAGAGCGGACTCTCCACCCTCGGCCATTAACATAAGCTGTAGCAGAGTATGTTAGAATAAACTTTATATCCCACCTGTTTCCAAATCTGTTTTCCCTTTTTTGTTCCTATGTAGTCCTAACATTTGTTTTTCTACTCTTACGTAATTATTAATAATTTTTTAATTAGTTATCAAAAGTGTATTTCGTCTTAATTCCCTCGCTAGTTATTATGTAATCTTTCAACCATGTAACTACTCACTTTAGTTTATTTACAAACAATTACTATTTGTGTTGTTTCCGAATTTTCAGACTCCCAGATGGTTATTTACTACTTAAAACTGGTACCGACTATGTATATCAGCCTTCGTCGAAATGTATGTTGTAACTTATATGTGTGTTACACTTAAAATCATATTGGTGAAATTTCGTAAATCCTGTACACATTGTCCTTTTTGTGTTGAAATTTTTTTAGCTCTTCAACATGAAGTTGTTAAAACGAATCTTTCAAAAGAATGATTCAATGAATAAAATTGTCTTTTCGATGGTGTCATTTCCTTAAGTTGTGCAATCGTATTTATCAGTAACTTTACTCATAGTATTCTGTTATAATATAGAAGAACAATTACATCGTTGAGTAAATTTACCAACATTTATTCAAACCTCATGTCACATTACTGATAAATACTATTGTTTAGTTTAAAAAATGACATTGTAGAAAAAAAAATTCTCCTATTTAGGACGTCTCCATTCTTTTTAATGACTTGATAAGTTTTATTTGTTGTTTTAAAATATTATCAGAAGGGATTTTGTGGAGATTTTAGTAATTTTATAGTTGAATTCATAAGTCAATTGAAGCTAGACTGCCATGGAAAACCTGAAAGCACTGGACGGCCATTTCGTCCTAATATGAAACTCCTTAGCAGTGCGCATCCACGATTCCGCCTCGCGAGATTCGAACCCAGGACCTATCAGTCTTAGGAAGTGAAAATTGGTACATATTCCCATAACTATCATAAATTTTAAACTGTCTCGTCCAATAGGATGTTTAATTGGTTTTTGTTATATCAAAATCTTTACTCATAGAGTGTTCGCTACTATCTACACTGTTCAAACTAGCTGTTAGTAATTTCAAGGATTGATGCTTTGCCTTGGTTTGAACAATTCCAACCAAATCTTATTTTAGCTGACATTGCAAATGAGGATAATTAGTGGCTTGTGTAACCCCTGAATCAGTCTCTTCAGTTAATACAGGTTTAGAACCTCATCAACTGGTCTACCACCCTTATCTAAAACTTCGATTTCATTCTCAACAATGCTTATCGGGTAGTTTTAGTACATAATTAATATTTCAAGAGAAACGCATTATTGAATAGATGTCATCACACAAGTCTTAACCTGTTAGTAACACGGAATGTGATCCCACTCAGTAGTTTGGAGTCACAAGTAATATATGGCCTGGTACAAAGGTACTACACTTCACATCAACACAGTGGGAGCAAACTAACAGTATACTCACTTTTTGATAGACAGTCGACTATCTCTGACAACATAGGTGATATTTGTTGACAAATGACAAAAGAACTATGACCATCACTACTAAGATTTTATCAGCGACTTAACCTCTAGACCTGGCTCAATCATTCGAACTGTTTGCAGGTCCAACCATCTCACTTTATACCTTCCAATTGGATGGCGTTCCATATCAATTCTGGACCATTTTCTTAGCATTTAACTAACTTGAAATTCATCGTCAACTAATTTAAACAATCGAAATACAGAAATTAGTTGCAAATAAAGAAAGTTGGACAATGAAGGGTTAACATGAGTATCGTGAAATAATGTGGTTAGATCATGTTATCGATGTACATATGTACTAACTGGTTATCCATTCTGTGAGAAATTTACTGCAGTCTATTTCACTATTATAATGTGAAACTTTCACAAAAATAAAACTATTATTAGTCTACATACATTAGCCTATCGTTAGCACAAGTTACCACAACGTCCAGTGTTCATTTTATATGTATATTTTTCTAAAACAATTAGTTTATGCTTGCTTCGTTAATTCTGATTTTCTCTGTGTGAATATATAGGAAAGCACCGTGATAACTAATCAATACTCTGCTACATGGCATTCCAAAGGTACGCCTCTAACTGGTGATGGTCAAGGATTACCTGGTGTATTTTTCAATTATGAAATAGCCCCTTTACTTGTTAAAATTACCGAAGAGAAAAAGTAAGCACTCTAATGAAATTACGTCGAAAATATTGTAATGTATATAAAAGATATTCACATGATAAATCTGTATCCTTTACTATGATTTAGTTCATACTTGATGAGATGAGTAAAATCAATGCTGATTGATAGATAATGTGCAATGATACAATGTGTCTGAGTGATGGCTGCATACAGAACTGAACTATTAACGTAAACTCGTTAGTTGAACGGATATCAGAAGATAATTAGCTTCTCTGTAGAGTAGGTTTTCTTTATTTAATAGCATAACAATTGTTATAAACAGTCGGATCAGTCAGTCAGTTACAACGTAGAACTTCGTACGTACGTACATCAGTTCAAGTTGCCATATCACATTAGCACAGAGATGAAGTTGTCGATTCAAATCCCATAATGGTAGAAGTAGTAAGAGTATAAGTATCATGTGAAAGATAAGGGTTTGAAGATGTTATTGAAGGAGTATAATACAATGAAATAAATTTGGAAAGAGAAAAAGGATTAGGGTTTGAAGGTGTTATTCAAGGAGTATAATACAGTAAAATAAATTGGGAAAGAGAAAAAAGATAGAGACATGAAGAATTCAGATTAGAAGTTGGTAGAACACAAAGAGTGGATGCACTTTCGCCACTGCAAACGATTTTGAGCCATGTCATTCAAGGTCTCTAACCATCGGTTGCTATCATCTCGCGAATCCCAACCAGGTAGTCTACACCTGCCAACACGGCCCAGTCCACTTGTCAGTGACTTCATCGATTTATGCCATGTTTCAGTCTGGCCGCCCCTAGCTTTCTTCCAACCTACTCCTACATCATAAAACATTGCACGTAGGGGCAGTCGGTGGTTGGGCATACGTAACACATGTCCCAGCCATCTCAACTGCTGAAGTTTCAGTACTTCATCAATCGATTTGCCATCCTTATCTAGTACCCGTTTCCTAACATCTGCATTACTTACCCGGTGGTCCCAGGATATACGAGCAATGTTTCGAAGACATCTATGATCGAACATTAGTAGCCTACGAATATCCTCTACTCTTATCGGCCATGTTTCACTTCCATAAAGTAGGACAGAACGGACTGCTGCACAGTAAACCCGTCCTTTTGTTGCTAGACGGATATCTCGCCTACGCCATAAATGACGCAAGTTGGCGAAAGCTAGACGAGCCTTCTGTATCCGTGTTGAGATCTCGTCACACACCAGACCACAAGGGCTGATGAGACTCCCAAGATAAGTGAAGCTGTCAACACGCTCAACTACTTCACTCCCTATCATTAGTTCAGGTGTCGCCGCAACCCAATCCTGAAGTAACATTTTGCACTTCGAGGGAGAGAATCGCATCCCGAACATGCGTGCATTGTTGCTTATAGTGGTCAGAAGACTCTGCATTTTGTCAGAGTCTTCACCGAATAAAACTATGTCGTCGGTGTATTCTAAGTCAACAAGTGAGCCTCCTGGTAAAAGTTCAACTCCAGGAGATTGAGATGATGAAAGTGATACCTCTAAAAGCATGTCAGCGAAAAAGTTAAACAAGAATGGTGAGAGTGGACTGCCCTGACGAACACCACTTGAGGTAACCAATTCTGATGACAGTTCGCCATAGGCTGTAACTCGACCAGTTGTGTTCGAGTAGAGAGCTTTTATGAGGTTAATGTGCTTATTTGGTATTCCTTTCAGTGACAAACACTGCCACAGAACCTCACGATCAACAGAGTCAAATGCCGCCTTAAGGTCAAGAAATACTACTATTGTGAGACGTCTGAATGTATGTCTATGTTCTAGGACCTGACGTAGAGTGAATATCTGGTCTATGCAACCACGTCCAGGTCGAAAACCAGCCTGGTTTTCTCTAGTCTGCTCTTCACGAGCTTTGGTTAGGCGACCTAGTATTATTGAAGCTAATATTTTAGACACTATATTAGTCAAACTGATCCCTCTGTGATTGTCACAGGTGGACTTTTGTCCTTTCTTATAGATTGGCACAATCAGTGATTGGGACCAGTCAGATGGAATTACGTCCAGTTCCCAGATTCTACCTAAGACCTCAGTCAATCTCGTTGCTAGTACTGGACCACCATCGTTAAAAATCTCAGGGGTCAACCTGTCAGGGCCTGCGGCTCTCCCTCGCTTTATATTTCCTATAGCTTTTTCAACCTCGTAGATAGTTGAAGGACTTACCTCAATTTACCATTCAGGACGACTGGGGATCGTGGGTAACTGAAGTGTGGCTGAAGGCCAGTTGAACTGGTCTCTAAAGTGTTCTGCCCATCGATCCAATCTCCTGGATTGAGAATGAATGATATGCCCGTCTTTGTCTGAGATAGTTTCACTAATAGTTGGGTTCCTAATGCCGGTTTCTTTAATAAGTCTGAACAGCTGTCTGCTGTTACCTATTGCCGCTGCTTTTTCCATCTCTCTTGCTTTCGCTACCCACCACTGTTCACGATCATTGCGTAGACTTCTTATTAGTCTTCGCTTAAGCTGACTCCGCTCTTCGTTATGTTCAGAGCCAGGTGGGATGAGTTTTCGAGTATCTATCAGTGCGGTAGATGCTGCCGAGATCCATTGTTTCTCCCTGACCTTACCAGCGGATATCACAGCTGTTTCCACAGATTTTCAGATGTCATTCCACGCTGCTTCTGGGTGGACACAGCTTACATGTCTGTCTAACTGTTTTTCCAGTTGTTCCTGAAATATATTCTTAGCTTGCTTATCATTAAGTAGAACCCTTAGAGGCTTCCCTGCAGTGTCTTTCCTACGTCCAGTAAGTCGCAGACAGATACGTGCTCGCACTAGAGCATGATCTGAGACTAAACATGTGACCCAGAATGAGCGACAGTCTTCTATCGAGCCCCTCCATCGGTGGCTGATAGCGATGTGATCTAATTGGGTCCAACGTTGGGACGAATTCGGGGGTTGCCATGTCAAATGATGTTTTTCCTTATGCTTAAAGTTAGTATTTGCAAGAAATAGGCGGTTATCTGAGCACATCTGCAACAGACGGTCGCTATTATCTGTTCTTTTAGCCGCGACACTATAAGATCCACCCAGGTGTCTTTCCCTTTCACTTAGTTTACCTACTTGAGCATTAAAGTCACCTGCCACTATTACTACATCAGAACGCCTAGCTTTCCGGAGAAGGTCAGAAAGTTTCCTGTAAAACTCATCTTTTATATCGTCTGAGCTACAGTCAGTGGGAGAGTAGGCAGAGATGACGAAGAGACAACGAATAGTTTCCCTATCTTTCCGAGTCCTTACTGATCCGTTTAGTCGGACAGCGCATAGACGACTGTCTACTGGGATCTAGTCTAAAAGAGCTAGTTCTGTCCCAGGACTTAATGCTATACCTACTCCAGCGAGGCCACGGGAAGCAACATTAGGGCTTCCAGATACACGAAGCGTGTATCGAGATGGTTCTTTATTTTAATTAGGTGAGGTCAAATGAATGACGCAGCATACATCGATGGTGTAAGATTCTAGAGTCCTATCTAAGGAAGCCTGTTGTCCTATTTGGCACAATGTTCGGACATTAAAAGTTCCTACATGTAGTTTAAAGCGAGGTTTCAGGAGACCAGGAATAACGTTCTGTGTACACGAATCGTTTGCCCTAGCAGTGCGAGGTGATAAAAGGACATGGGAAGGGTTAGTCGTGGAGATAACAGAGTTGTTATGTGGTGTAGGAAGGATTTGAAAGTGACCAACTTGGTCTCGTGTGCTGTTACGGGTATGAGTGCATTTATCATTTCCCGGCTGCCCACACCGTGGAAGGGTATTTCTTGAGGGACCTAAAAAATAAGTTGGATTAGTGTTGGTCTGAACGACCTGGGAGCGTGACCGCAGTGCCCAAGGGACAACTGCTTGAGGCCGGTCACGCACGGCCTTTTTGTGGGGGATTTTTGAAGTGTTAGCTCCGTTCTTCAAAGGACCTTACCGCCGGAGACGGAAATCCGTGGGATAAGGCGAGGTGTGCATTTTTAGGGTCGACCTTTTCTAACCCCACCCCTCCTTGTGGGAAGGCAGTATCGCTGTCATGCTGGTTGTCTGAAGGAAACACCTTACTGCCGTCACACCTCTGTACAGTCAGCAGTACGACTTCGCCTTCGGACCTTGGGATTGCTGCTTTTAGTCTTACCGCTCTTCAACCGACCTGTCTGGCATGGTAGGACTTCGAGGAACGATTTTTCCATCCAGCATAGCTCGATTGCTTCATCACGATAGGCAAGCCTGACCACTACGTCAAGGTAGCAGCAACAGTCGGATAAAACTTATTTTATTAGTCACTCGTTCTCCAATCTTAACTATTAGACTTTCATATCATATACGCATTTTACTCAACCTCACATTTCTTAAGTGTAGTTCGTTATCCGCTATTATTGTTGTTGTCAATACAAATAACCACCGTCTTGCAATGACAAACTTGAATATTTCCCAACTAACTTTGTCATTACATTAGTTAACGTAAATCTCTTTATCGTATACTGGTTGGCTTTTAAACGTCACTTACTTGTGCCTGTTACCCCTCTTGGAGGAGCATATGCCGCTTACCAGCATTCTCTATCGAACTCTGTCCCGGGAAATCCTCTCCAGTTACTACTCATCCTTTTCATGTCTGATTCCAATTCTCGGCACGGTGTATCCTTTGGTTTTCTTCTTTTCGTTTTACCTTCAGGATTCAAAGTTAGCGCTTCCTTCTCGATGCAATTTGGTGATTTCTTCAATGTATGTCCTATCCACATCCACTGTATTTTCCTAATTTCCTCTTCAACCCGAAGCTGGTTTGTTCTCTTCTACGGCAAACTGTTGCTGATGGTATCCGATTAATGGACATAGAGTATCTTGTGTAGACAATTGTTTATGCATAATTGTACCATTTTGATGATGATTATAGAAGTTCTGTAAGTTTCAGCTCTGTACAGCAGAACTGTCTTGACGTTCGTATTGAAGATTCTGACTTTGATGTTGACTGACAGACAGTTGTTTTGAGTTCCATATGTTCTTCAAATGTAGGAATACGTCCCTTGCTTTACCAATCATTGCCTTTAGATCTCTATCAAATCCGCCTTGTTCATCGATGATGATGCCCAATTTTAAATCTGTTTACTTTTTTTCCAGGTCATTTATACATTTCTTGACAAATACATGTGCAATCATTGGAGGAGTATTTACAGGTGAGAATATTCTAGGCCTATTTTCGCTGTTAGCGCTCCTTTTTTACATTATGGTTTACAACAATTTCGTCAAAAAATTTGCTTAGAATGTTTACTATTAGAAATAATATTGGTACATTGTTTGTTGAACGCTATACTTGGTAGATTCGGTAAATATTTTTAATAAGGTATTTTTGAAATCATTTTCAGTCTGAATTTATGTCAGTTAAAGAAGTATTGTGAACTGAAATAAAAAAAAGTAATAGACAAAACTATTCAATTTTTGCTTAAGACTTGATATCAGATGGCTAGATAACATTGCATGGTTGGAAATGATGACTGAATACATGTGATAATAAAGTTTATCAATGATGTCATAGACGTTCACTTTCTCTCTGTCTATATTTTTATATGTATTGTCAATCAGTTAGTTGTAATCAACATGGAGCTTCACCTAAATATGCGTTATTCTAGGTTACATATCGCATTGGCACGACGCGATGGAATTAACATAAATAGAAATGTAGTAAGAATATTTGTTGTAGCGATGATGATGAGAAAAAGGAAAGAATTAAAATACAGTGAGAAGATGGAATAAAAAGATTACATTTTTAAACATCGTTCTACATACATGATTTACCTGGGTTTATTTGCAGGTTTAAAACTTACTCAATGACCTAGTTTAATCACTCATTCGGGTTAAAAATGTGAAACATTGGATCTCGACTCAGTGCTCACCGTGAGACCTAAAGTCTTGAGTTTGACTCACAGTGTGGTCTTGAATGCACACTGCTAAAGCGTCCCATACTAGGATGAAACAGTTGTCGGTTATATTGCCACATTGTTATACCATGTTAGATTACAATTATTTTCTTATATACTTGATCTAATCTTTAGATAAAAGTTATAGACTGTAAATCAACAGCCACGTATATATACTTTTATTAATTATTGGAAACATTTCTCATGTAAGAATTAATCGCATTACTAAATTAACCGAATCTTGTTAGAAGAAAGGGTAGTTTAACCTTCGACCCACGAGTGTTAGTTTACACGTTACATGTTCAATAGAATCTAAGTATACCATCAATTATCACGTGCGAAATATATTTTAAACTTCATTTATTTATAACAAACAAAGTTTGTTACTGGTCTGCCAAATAAACAATCATGTAGTTGTAAACATTTGTAACTACTAATTACACGGCCTTTTCTTGATGACTTCGGTTTATCCAATCTTCATGATGTAATATAATTACGTAGATGACTGAACGAACTTCTGATCATTTTTTTTGTAATTATTTCATCTAATCAGTAGTTTGGTTTTTTTTCCAATTGATTTTAGTGGCAAGTTTTCTGGATGCATTCATTTATCAGTCTACATGTATACTACGTAACCGTCATCATAGAAACTAACATTATTAAATGTACAACTTTTTGTAATTTATTTGTTCTCTACTTCCTTCTTTCTTATATTTATTCGTTTTTCGTTCTATTTTCTAACATATATTCTAATTTGCGTTTGATAAACTGGTTTGGTGTAAACACTTGGCAATCCCTCATGTCTTTCGATTCCCACTATTTGTTGCTTGTTTTTTCTTTATTTGTATACATCAGTATCAATATTAATGGATGTGAAATTTTTTTTGGAAAATCCATTTACTATGAACCCGACATTCTTTTTTGTGTTAAATGGTTTCGTTGTCAAATGTACAAATAGAGTTATAGCAACCAATATATAATAAATGTTCATGTATTACTGCATCCCTCAGGTGACATCATCATTCTGTAGCTTAATAGTAGATACCGTAAATATGATAACTGATATAAATAAATGATTAAATTGTTATTACCTATTATAAGTACACGGTAAGCAACTGTCTCTCTTTACGCTCTGACCTCAATCAAAGTCACATTATTACTGGGGAGTCTTCCGCTTGCTTATATAATTATGTTAGCTAATAAAGCGTAACCAATAAGGTCATCCGTATGTTGTCTTACTTATATCTAGTCTATTTTAGAAAAGGGAAATCATACCATTTACTGATCTAAAGCTAAAAGCTAGCATAAATTGGAGGACAATAAAGGTGGATGATTTAAGGCCGCTTTCCTAGTATCACCGAGTAACGATTTACAGCTAATAGAAAGGGTAGGGACTCATTTTTTACTTGCCACCTACGTACTCTGAATAATTCCTAACACCATGATTGAAATGCGTGCTGGCCAAGAATTTATCTGAATATAGCAGGCAATGTAAGATTACAAAGAATTCACCTACGATAATTCATAGTTCTGAGTGTATTTTTTGTATCGTCAATACAATGAAGTAAATATCGATAATAAAGGGATTGTGACGAGGGTATTTTATATCCTAGCTTTCTGTATCAATGTATTTCCACCAAATATTTTGGACTCCATAAGAGTCGAACGGTTGATGTTGTAAAATTACTTGCCTCGATTTTTCGGAAATGAGTCTTTGTACGTTGTGGTAGACTTTCTATAGATGATAGAATCATTCACACTCAACTACTGAATAAGTACCACAAAGTGAATAAGTTAATGATGTACACTCCTATTAGTTCGATCGATTTTATTAGGAAAGTAAGGTGTGGAAAGATAACAGGTTCTAACTAATCGTTGAAAAATATTTTCATGGGCACTAGTGAAGAATTACTAGTTAAATTGACTTTGGTTGAAGTATAGTTCCGTGCAACTTAATTCCGAAGTTGAAGTTGTCGAGGTTGTTATATTGCTAGTTTTACGTAAAACATCCCAACCACTTCAATCGAAAAATGTTTATTGTCATGAATGAAATCATCTGGCTAACAAGCTCTACCTGCTTAGGAACTCTATTTTATTTCTCAACGCGTTTTACCTCAAAACGCAATCTCTACAAGGAACTTTTATGATGTAAACAAAGCAAAATGCACCTTGGATCCCGATTCTAAGTAAAAAATATATCTGCATGCAAAGTAACGTGACTAGATCTCTTAATGAGATTAAGGTCAGTGAAAAGCAGTGAGCTCATAAATCAATTTATTGAGTATCTAGATCATCGATTAAATCGGCGAATGTAAGATGCGAACCCCAACTAAGAAATATGCAGGGACAGTATATCTACTGATCTAATCTCTTTTATTTATTCTATTCTATAATAGAGTAAGTAAGACTTAGAATAATCTAATCAATCGTACGGATATCTCACAGGTGACAATATAATGTTTAGTATATCAAGTTGGTGTCCGTCCAATAACTATGGTCAGTAGCTGGAGACCTTGATTACCATGGTTTATGGTTGGTTGCATATAAACGCGCTCTATATCTTCCTCTAGATTTTGAGTTCTAATATTCTTCCACAGATATTCTCCAATATATATTCCTTCTAACCATTATCGATACTATGGATGTTTCGACTCTCTTTATCTTGTTAATTCCCTCTCATTGTGCTGATTCGGAACGGTAATATGGGCTGATGCGCAACTATATCATGTTCTAGGTTGATTGAGGTTGAATTTCAGTAGATACAGAAAAGCCGTTAAACTAGAACGTGGTTTAAATTTTTCGATGACTGGTAAATGTCGAAACGAAGCAAGTAGGATTTCGAAGGAACTGAAAGATGTTTAGTCAGTTTTCTATGTATTGACAAGTCAGCTACCAAACCTAATCTGACCAAACAAAGCTAGGTGCTTAAAATAAGTACAGTCAAGTTCAGCGTTTCAGATAACTGTGTGGCAATCTCACTGAGATAGATTTACTTTAAGGGCCTTAATCATGTACTTTTTTGATACAATAATGATGGCAAATATGACAAGAAAAACAATCACTATAATTTTTTTGTTGGACAAAACATGAGCATTAAATAACTAAAGCAAGCTAAGGACTGAAGACAGAATCGACCTTTTTGATTGTTTAATCGATCTAAATATAAGACTGGTGGTCGCCAGAAATGTTTAGCACTACAATAACAAGGTAATATGTAATAAGCTTTTACCGCAACTTTCAAATGAGACTACTTAAAAAAATCTAAATTTAATGTGCCTCTTTAATTTGAATTGGCTACCGTTGGACACTGATAGTAATATACATCTTAGAAAGACCAAAATATTATTTCTAACCTATTCATTTAAGGCACAACCCTACTACTGTTTATCATGTGTTTATTTTCCATAAACAATTCTGTGGTTATTATTTCAAAGTTGAATTCATGAATCAATTGAAGCTAGACCACCCTCGAAAACCTGGAAGCACTGTACGGCCGTTTCGTCCTATTATGGGACTCCTTAGCAGTGCGCATCCACGATCCCGCACTCGCGATATTCGAACCCAGGATCTACCAGTCTCAAGCCAGAGCCCTTAACTGTTGGATGCCGGCTCAGTGGTCTATCGGTTAAGGGCACTGGCTCGAGACTGGTAGGTCCTGGGTTCGAATCTCACGAGTGCGGGATCGTGGATGCGCACTGCTGAGGAGTCCCATAATAGGACGAAACGGCCGTCCAGTGCTTCCAGGTTTTCGAGGGTGGTCTAGCTTCAATTGACTCATGGTTTCAACTTGAAAGATACTGAAATCTCAACAAATCCCCTTCTGACTATGGCTATTTATTAACTAATGTTTCTATATTTTAGACAGATAATTTACGAATTCGAAATTGTCGTTGATTCAGTTGAACTTTGACGACAGACTTATATAATCAAAATTAGAATACTCCCTTTTAAATGTAACAAATCTATCAAAATGAAAACCAAGTAGTACAAAGATCTACTTAAAATAAATAGAATTATTTTCTTCAAATCTAAAAACCATTTGTGAAAAAGTACAATACTCTATGTAAACATGAACTAATCTTGTTGAAATGAAATCAGTAGACATAGTTAAAAGGAAGAAAAAATAACTGCATAGTAAAATTGGATACAATCAAGTCTACTGTTTCATTAAATTTTTATTCTCTTGACTAAAACGAGGACAGGAGATGGACAATTAAAATAAGCATCACTCATAAATGAGATCTCATTTTTTAAATAAAAAAATAATGATACCACGAGTCAAAACTGCATAAACTTAAAAGGTAGGTGTAGTGATCTTCCGTATTAAAAAAAATATGTTTTGCAATTTTTTTCCAAATAAAAGAATGCTAGGCAACAATAATGAGTGAACAACTGGGGAAAAAACACTGAATGGTTTTAATGTTGAGTTTTTGCTTTTATCTTTAAATTGTTCCTCATTGTACAAAATATATTAAAAGCTGTTTAATATTTACGGCATAATTGATTTAAATGTGCTAAGGGCTTCTAAAAGGATAGAACGTCTTTGTTCTGGCCGCAATATAGGTAAACTGGTTGCAATTTGTGATAGTTTATTTAAAATATCTTTTTCTACATCATTTTCTGTCGTGTCACTCATCATTGTTGTTTCTGGTTGATTTTCTTTATTATCACCAACAGTATCATCCTTTAATTCACTGTTCTTATTCATGATTTCTTCATTATTATTGGTATTAGGTGGTAATGTCAAGGGTGTAATATTCCGTTCATCAATGGCTTCATTAGGACCAACGAGACTAGTAGTTATTACATTTTTATCATTCGTGCCATTATTATCTGTTAAAATGGCAATCGTTTGGGAGTTTGAACTATTATCCTAGATTTTGTAAAGCGAGGAAAGAAAAAAAACAAATTGGTGAAAAAGTATGTGAAAACCTTTAAAGAAAACATGTATTTAAAGTATTCAAATTTGGCAAGAAACTAAATAAAACTAATAGTTATGTAATGTATCACACTAAGAAGAACAATCTAATAAAGAAAGTAGACGTAATATGATATTATTGACAACAAATTTATGAGTTAAAACGCATACCTTATTGCATAATAAAGGTGGATGATTTAAGGCCGCTTTCCTAATATCACCGTGTAACGATTTACAGCTAATGGAAAGAGTAGAACATACAAAAAAAGTTTTCTAACTTATAATGACAAACTACATTAGCACACTACTGCGTTTAAATCATGGTCTTTTTAACATGGTAGGATTATTATACTATAGATTACTAATCTACTCGTATTATTATTCATTGTTTCTTGGCCACGTTTGAAAATTACGTGATCATGACATTTTCAATTATACGGTCAGTTAAGTTAGATAAATTCAAAAAAGATACATATTTACATCGTTGTTGAAGTTTAATATTGCTAGAATTAAAATGGAATTAATTAAATATACGTTCAAAATTTTATTTATTCTCTGAAGAAGTGGCTTACACTGAGTCACGAAACGTCAGAAAATCTAATTTTTCTTCTCACTGGGATATTACAAATATATAATTTATTTAATACGTTCAAAATGTTTACAATTCCTTTCTTGGAACTCGAAGGAAATGACACATTCATACAATAAAATCAAATACTCAAACCTATTGAAACAATTTACAATATGTTGCACTAAATAGTGATATAACAAATATGGAATTTCGATAATGCAATGAGAAGACGAAGTTTATCAGAATTATGTGATACATTAGCGCAATACATTTCGAACAATCTGATCACACATATACTTGTTAAGACATTTTTACATAAAAATTAAAAGGTCAACTAGACAGATTTAGGTAAGAAAATAAGTAAAGTACACAAAAACAATGTGATGACAACTCTGGATAATAAATAAGCATTACCAGGGTAGTTTAAGGGTAAGAACAAATTGTTTTTGAACACATAAAGGGGGTTTCAATTTCCGTATAGCCAAAGCTTCAATAAACCTTAGTATACGTCCTTGAAGGCTTTTGTACAACACTACAAATGCTGATTTGATGTCAACCTTATGACCAGTTTCAACTAAATGTTTCGCAATGGAGGAAGATGTTTGTCTATCCTATGATCTTATTTGACCATTGGAATTCATTTGGTTCTGCAGCCATTTAGATATGTGTTCCGCCACCCTTTATTTGCAAATCACGATTGCTCCTCCCTATGTACGTGATCCGCACATACATGTAAATTGGTATACACAATGGGATGTGACACAATCGCTTATGTGCTGTCTAGGTTTTTGATGAAACATCGAGCTTGTCTTTTCAATGATGACAAGTTGAGCTGCATAGAATGTCCTGTTTATGGCTAATTTTAGTCTCCGTCTCAACATGAGACTATTTGAGTCACTCCTAAATGGTAATGTAATATAAACTCGCTTTTTGGGTGCCAGGAGCGTCATAGGTCTAATCGTATTGCAACCCTTCCAGCGGTTTATGAACTTAAATG